CGCAAATGGATATCGGCCTTCAAAACACCGTTTGTACACTAACATTTATCTTTTACGCTGTCTAGCCTGAAAATAATAGTTTTGGCAATTTGTGTAGGATTTTAATTTTAGAATGTAATGAACAAGTACGAAGATCGTTAAAAACCTTAAGTGAATCGGAAAATGAGCTATGCACGATTAAAGGAAATAGTTTGATGCGTCGATATGAAATTTCACAGAGGCATGTAATATTTGTAAAATTTGGAGAGAGAGAGAGAGAGAGAGAGAGAGAGAGAGAGAGAGAGAGACTTATAAATTTCGCGGTATTTGGTCTCATGTTACAACAAATGTACTCATGTCAAAATGATTGTGATGGAAGGAACAACAAATGGAAAATAATATTAAAAAATGATATAGAGTAAAATTTTGAATAACTAAATGAATAAATAAATTGATGAATAAGTTAATAAAGAAAGAAAAGAAAAGAATATAAAAATAAATAAAATAAAATAATATAAAAATGAAATTTTTATATAAAGCATAAAATAAAAAAAAAAAAAAAATATATACGTAAAAATAAATAATTAATAAACACGGAGCCACCAGAAGTAGGAAAAGGAGGAAAGCTCGGCCAAGCAAACAGCAGTGAACGGCAGCAACGTTGACCTGGTACACCAGCAGCCAAGTAAAGAGCGGAAAATTTTGATATGCCAAATTGTGTAATATGTGAATTTATTTGCCAAATATTTTGTGTAAACCGAAAGATGCCTAAATTTGTGTATGCGAGTTTTGCAAAAATAATTAGTAAGATGTTTTGTATGTACTAAAAAAAAAAGAGAATTAAGTACAATAAAAATAAAATAAATAAAAAACCAAAGGGTGTATGTATAATTTTGACTGCTTTGTGCTAGTGCTACTTTTATTGAGACTTTATAGTGCTAGTACACTGGAACGCTGCCCGCAGGAAGACAGCCCCCCACGCTTATTAAAACTGGGTTAGCGCAAACTAGATCTTGCGAAAGACCATTTTTTAAGTCTTAGATTTGACTTGCGGCTTAATGATATGGAAAATTTATATAAGGACCAAAAGTAGACACAAAAATAATTTGGATGCCGCGAATTTGGAAAAAAAAAGCCAAATGTTATCGTGAGTTACTGTTTAGTTAGCATAATTTCAATAGTTTAGTTTACTTAGCACTACATATATTTTAACTAACTTTAAATATGTTTAATTATTTCAAACATTTTTTAGATTATAAATTTATTTCGATTTTAATTCGTCTTGAAGAGCTTGCTGTACTGCCGGTTACGGCCTGACTCCATTTCTGAGTCACTGACATGGATAACTCTTGCAGTGCAGTTGGTCTTCTTACCGATGTGTTGTTAAGCCGTCTTGAAGAGCTTGCTGTACTGCCGGTTACGGCCTGACTCCATTTTTGAGTCACTGACTCGGAAAACTTTTAGCAGTGTAGTTGGTCTTCTTACCGATGTGTTGTTAAGCCGTCTTGAAGAGCCTGCTGTACTGCCGGTTACGGCCTGACTCCATTTCTGAGTCACTGACCCGGATAACTCTTGCAGTGTAATTGGTATTCTTAACGATCTTTTCTTTTAAATTAGTACGTCCTGTTATTGTTGTAAAAATTGTTTTATTACTGCCGGTTACGGCCTGACTCCATTTTGAGTCACTGACCCGGATAACTCTTGCAGTGTATTTTATTTATTTTATTTATATTACTTTTATTTTTTTTAATACTTATATAAATTTATGGTAATCAATTTCTGTTAAATATTGAACCAAGCACGACCAGACATATTGTTGTTTATCTTTAGGAGGATCTAGCAATATTTTGGTATTAACATTTTGTATTTGAACCTTATCCAAGTTTGATTGTAAATTTTGTCTGGCTTGTGAGTGATTAATACAGTTAACTAGTACGTGTTCTATATCCTCTTTAATGCCGCATGTATTGCATATTGGAGGTACATTGCGGATGTACTGGCATAGCTGACCAGGTAATAAAGTAGTACCCAACCTAAGTCTAGTTATTGTTTTTGCGTGATATCGATTACCTTGATAAAAAGTGGGTTTTTTATTTACTGTATTGATGAAAGGAAATGTTTCCCCCTCGTTTTATATAGCAGGGTATTCCATAGTGTAATGATATTAGTTGCAGATTTTTTTTTCTATCGGTAAGAAACGGTATACAGTTCCAAATCTACATTAAGTTATAGTACATTCAAAGTAAGTTTATTACATTTCTAAACGTTTCTCAATCAAGATAAAACGTTTACAACCAATACTATTTTTTACGACTAAATTTTTTTTATGTAAAATAGATAGTTCACGTTCCATTGAACTAAGGGTATTGTTTAGGTTAGTTTTTTTTTCAACATTTTATAAGATCAAATTTGAAATGTAATTAACACAATGATTCAAAATTACAAAAAGACATCAAGAATTACGCAATTTGTATAAAACAAAAAATATAATAATTAAGATAACTTATTTGCTTTAATTAATAAGTGAAATGTCTCCAATCCAATCTTTCCAGTCTAATTTAGTCCAAAGGGTGACAAGGGGATATAAATATGGTCACTACAAGTCTTCTTTCGGCTGGCAGTAAAAAAACCTTGCCAAAGTGGGGCATCCGTTTGGTTGTTTGGGATATACAAGTACGCAACCAACTATAAATCAATCCAATCTAATAACTGTTTTTTTCCCCGCTTTTTTTTTATGTTAAATTATTTTAACTCAAAATAATAATTGAAATAACTTTCTGAAATAAAACATATATCATACGCCTAACAAAACGATATACCATACGATAGATGAAACGCTAAACCATAAGATAAACGAAACGCTAAACGCTAAACCAGACGATAAACGAAACGCTAAACCATACGATAAACGAAACGCTAAACGCTAAACCATACCATGTTACATACGACAAATAAAACGCTTAACGATGCCATGAACCATACGATATACAAAACCCTAAACGATGACATTTACCATACGATAAACGAACGATGAACGAACGCTGACCGAACGTTGTACGAACGCTATACGAATGATGTACGAACGATTACCGAACTCTATACGAACGATTCCCGAACGCTGTACGTACGATTCCCGAATGAAAAAGTGTTAACTTTTACGTTACAGGGACTGTAACAGCACAACATACGAACAAACTTTGTACACTGTACATTCGTTCGTTGTAGTTTGTTTGAATGAAATGAGTCTGTGTCCATCAGGCAAAAACCCAACAACAGAAAAAGCAAAAGATATCTAGAGTTACGATGTGTCCAGGTCTGACCTGCGTCGAGTTTTCGTATGCGTTAAGGTACTAAAGTTGGGTACCAACATGTTGCAATGAAGGTTAACCTAGCCTTATCAACACCCATTTATACCTCTGTTGACAGGCACACACAGAATGTTGCGGAGTTAAACATGATTTTGAGCGCTCCTCATCACTATGTAAAAATAAGGAGATGTGGTACGATTTCCAACAAGCAACTATTCACCAAAGTTCAAATGAAGTGGATGTTAGCAATTATAGGCAACCGTAAAGCCTTCAACAATGAGAAAAAACCTATACCGTATAGTCGGCTATAAAAGTCCCCGACAGGTAAAATATGCAACAATTCAATTGAGAAAACTAATCGCCTTATTCATAACAGAACTATTTACAAAAAAACAAATATGGTGGACATGAACCAACGACAACCACAGACTCCTGACTTGGGGCAGGCACATAAAGAATGTGGCGGGGTTAAACATGTCTGTGAGCGCTCAAACCTCCGTTTATCTGGGACAGTGATGTAACAGTACAACACAAGAACAAACTATAAAAATTAGTTGCAAAAGATAAACTCATTAGATGGATACAAATAGAAATTCATCTAACAAAAACACATGGCGGAGATGGACGGATAATTATATATCCCCAAAACAAAAAGCCACTTAGTACAGATCTAACAGTACTCGCAGTTACTGGCAGCAAGTTCAAAGCCAATAACAACTTATGAAAAAAATCATGTATCTAAGACTAACATATCAATCAGTACACATCCAACAACCAACAGATTTAGTGTAAAGACGTCATTAACAGTCAGAGAAAAACATGACCTTGAAGGTTTCGAGTCAATCAATTCTAGATAGGAATTAAGACGACAATTGTCTAGGATTGAAAACGGTCACTTAAAAATCGATTCATATAATCAATGAACATACCTAACATCTCTGTGATATTTCTTTCCAAAACTTTAAACATATTCAAACGATACTACCAATTCCGATTTGACAACAATAACGGAATGCGTTTACACAAATTTAGGATTAAGTGCGTATTAAATTTGCTAATTTGGAGGCAAATCTTATGAGATATGTAGTTTTGCATCCAGTTTCAAGTACCGTCGGATTTTGTCTAGAATGAATATATTTGTGAACGCAATTTCATATTCGAATAGGAACTTACCTCAGTGCGCATGCTTTTGTTTACTTTTTTCATATACGGGATTTTATCCCTGATATATTATATAATTTTAAAAACACTCTTGTTAACGCAAATGAAATCCAATTCCGGTATGATGAATTCAAATATACCATCGTTATAATATCCGATTTAAATCTTGCATTCATATAAATAGGGTATTTGTAGATCCAATAATGGTCTGTCACATATTGCTCTAAAAAATCTTTGTTTCTTTCAAAACAGTTATTTCCATGTTTCTTTAAAGTGTAAAATCAACCTGGTATAAATTACAGCTCAGGTGTTAGTATGCTGAGATGACATTCACTTACATAACTATTGAAAAAACAGGTAAATAGATTTATCAAAACTCTACAAGTCCGCTCATGTCAATCTGATATCACAACTAGGAATGTAATCTATCATCATGCTTAAAATTAAACGTCAATGTGTATGCAATTGCATATAAAATTTGCCACGAAAAACACAGTTAAGGTTACAAATGATAATGTATTACGATAAATACAAATAAGTTTTTCTTCACAGATAAACTTCCTCGATTTAAAAATAAACAACACGGCAATGGTTGCATTGCAGCAACTCAGTGTGATGGTGATAATGTCAGTCGAGAGTATCAACCATGTGAACAGCATCATGATGTAACATGTGGTAAGTATTTAAGAAATTAATTAGGAACTCTCTAAACAACAATACATAATACTCACAGACAGGATACAGTCCGCACAATAACAGCAGATGCAAATCAAAAAGGCATTGTATGTATAACAAATGTAAGCTAATTATACGTTTTGACTGTATTTTTTCTTTTCTTTTTTAGATAAGGATAGTTTGGCTGAAAAAAAAGGTTATAACTCCCTGTACGAAGCTTGACAAATGCCTGTATCGTTTCTTTGTTTCGCCCTTTTTCTGTTTAAGATGATAAAACTTTGTAAAAAAAGTTTGGCTAAAACAAAACTGATGAAGAATCTAAAAAATACGTGTTGTGCACACAAAAACTGGCATCAATCACAATACAAATCGCCATTCGATTCGTTTATATTCGTGGGTACCAATTGTCGTGCCTTGAGAAACATTGTATTTTGGTTAATACAATGATTTAAGTTTGTGGATATTAAAAATCGAGATTTTTATCACAATATTCTGTACATGTTTAAAAACAGGGGGAACATTGCATTAAAAAAATCAATTCCATATGAGAACTTCTTGATTATGCTTTAGATGACAACAGACAACTTGGGTATACGTATGTTAATTACCAAAACGCATCTGAAGATTGCAAAAAAGGTGGTTCATTCATAAAATGGTATCCAGATGATTTTTGCAGTTCGAATAAATTCGATCATCCATTCTGGACGAGTGGAAGACGTCACAACCATACGTTTTATCTTAAGAAGTCATGTAAGTGGTATCAAATAATTAAGGAGATAAAACTGTATTGTATTTAAAACTTGGCTTGCGTAAAACGTAGCTTTTACTGTCGCAAATTGAGTTTACTTACCTCCTACGTAGTCACTTAAAATTCAAAAAACGTTTAGAACTAAGGCATTTATAAAAATTATGAAATAGGACTTAATCTTAATCTTTACCTGCGATTGCAGAAAAGATTCATGAACAAATTAAATATGCAAATATTTGCCAATAATACAGCAACACAGCGACAAAAAAAATCAAATCATATATCAATACGCCATAATATATTACAATCTTCGACAATACACAATTGTCTACGCGATATGTCAAACTCTAAATAGCAACAAAACTTAACAAACGATGCCAATTAGAGATTAAACAAAATATTCAAAACCTTTGATATCAACACCAAAAGCTTTTAACGACAGTGTAAATTATGTATCACTTAAGATAACGAACGAAGATTTTCCTTTCCCGGGTCAGGCATGTTAACATCAGAATGATTGAAATAGTCCTAAATCGTCAATCCCTTCTCGTTGTGCTACTATTCCCTATCTGTAATTGTATAAAAGATCTTTGACAAATATGGCATGACGACACTGCGAAAAAAAAAGATTAATGACAGAAACCGTAAATAATACATGTTATACTCTTATATTAGTTATTGCCTTGAAATGAAAACTTTTGACAAATTGAAGAATTTTGACCTGTTACCTTGAAAGTAAAAAAAAAAACGTCACAGAAAAAAAACAAAAAAAAACAAAAAACAAAAACAAAACAAGCTCTACTGAATTAACAAAATTTCTAACATTACTGAAAACATACATCGGAGCCTTGTATAGCTCACTATATGGTAAAGTTTTTCTCATTGTAGAAGGCCGAATGGTTGCCTAAAATTGCTCACATCCACTGCACTTGAACTTTGGCGGATAGTTGTCTCATTGGCAATCATACCACATCTTTTCTTTATTTGTATATCAATCCATTTGAGGAGTTATTGGCACGACGAATTTTGTGGTTTTGCCTTCAAACTTGATTTGTTTATCGATAGACAAAAAATGAAGATGTGTATGATTAGGGTGTCATATCTTCCAACAATAAGTAAACGTCCTGAATATGCATGTTAGTATTGCGGCATTTCGACGTTAAGTTGAAAACAATCGATCAGTCTTTATTTTGGAATATAAAACAAGTGAAAATTCTTCACATATTATGTTATCTAAATAGTTCGTAAAACTAACCTAAGCAATAGTTCCCAAAACAAAATTTAAGTTTTATTTTACAGACGACATTCAGAATTTGCAACTTCAAAAATGTTTCAAAATACATCGTCATCAAAACAACGAAACAATAGAAAGAAAGATAGGCAACTGTACACAAACGTTTAGTTTTGTTTGCAGGTTTGGTAAGTAAATGGATACATGTATATCTTAATGACTATCTTCATTTTCACCTATTAATGGTAAGTCTCCGTTTACAATTTTACCCGTCAGTCGATATATTATGATCTACATGCCAACCTCGTATCTGTACCAGGGCTACAAAATAACAGGCTGTTAATAATGCATTATTAACCAATGACTTAAAATGCATTATAAATTGTCCAGTTAATACATTCATGTGTGTCTAAGAACTGGTCGTTAATACAGGTCTAATACAGAAAAACGCGGGTTAATACATAACTGTTACTGATCTTGACACAGGCTTTTAACTTCCGGTTATTGGTTTCACGTTTGATGTTGGGGTTGTTGTTATTTTTCATGTAATGTACTATTGTATTGTTTGTGTATATACAATTATGGCGCGTATACAGGGTAAATATCCCGAATTTTCAAGCGTAAAAGATTATTTCTCTGAGGGCGCAGTCTGAAGTGAGAGAAAGTTGAAGGGTTGACAATCTTGGATATACACAGCTTCGATAGCGCCACATTTGTTTAATTATACTAAAGAGCCCTTCGAACCACTAAAAATGCATGTTAAAGAAGCTCTTGTACATGTCTTACTGCAGTAAAATATTGTCAAAACACTTACGTCAGATAATTTTTTTTTTAATGACTAACATGCCTCATAAGTCTAACATATGAAGACTTTTTCTGTAAAATACTGGTGGCCCTGAAAAGGACCGTTTGTGAAATCTATCCTCGGCATCATATAATAAGTTGTTTACAGACCTCATTTTGATGGGTGATAACTCGTGCAAGAATCGAGGTCTCAAAGGGTTATTTAGAGGTGGAGAAAAGAGTAATTCATCACACATTATAAAAAGTGTATTCCTTTCTAAGATAGTGAACCCAAAAAGTTCATATTGATCCTCTATGAGTCTTCCTACAGTCATGTGTATTCTCAGTCAGCTTTTGGAGATTATTTTAAGTTATTGGTAAATGATGGTATCATAAAATGGGTGTTTTCATATTTATCCCCGTACAGTCGTATTGGGTCTCGATCATCTGTATTGAAACTCGGCAACGACTCGAGCCAATACAGCTGACCTCGACCTACGACTATACTTAAACTTATAACAGGATTAATATAAAAACACCCATTCAATAACACTATAGTATTAAATTATATGTGTTTTCTATACGGTCCTGTTATATGTCTAAGGTGTATGATAATGGCCTGAGCTGGAGGATGTATGTAAAATGTTGTGGGAAAAATATAACATATGCAATATTGTGAACAAATAAAACAACACAATATTGGTCGATATCTCTGCTGTCGAGCTACATGTATCAGTCACGAGGGCAGCGTCAGCTCAGTAGTGAGTACTTCGGTACTGACATTATTTTTAACAAACTTTTTTAAAATTGTTCGATTATAAATTTATAAATAATAGAATTTTAGAAACTAATGTTTTAACTCCCTGGGGCAAAGTTGACCCTAGATGGAGTTAGCAATTGTTTTAAGTCCTTTCGGTCATAAATCTTTTCAATTAGTTCGGTTCTTGTACATTATTGGCTTTCAAATATTCGCTTTTGAGAGTTCCCGACAAAGGTAAATCAAGAACAGCGCTTCGGGCCCATGAAATTTATAACGTATTGTTTTCAATATTTTTGATAAGTTAATATCTGGAGAGTATGAAATGCCTTCCCATGTAAAAATCAATAATGTTAATATATTTGTTTTGCCAACAGCTGTTACTCTGTCACCTGCATATGTGATATACATTTCCCAACTTATTCGGTATTCAAGTGCTTGCAGCTGCTACTCAGACTTTATAAACCGTCATCAGCATGACCAGTGTCTGAGAAGTTAATGAGTCAAGATTGTGTCAAAGAACGTGGATCGGTACAAATGCATCCAGCCATTGTGTTATTGTGCTATGGTCAATTTTTAGTTCTTGTCTTATGCTTATGTACTTTGTCTACATACCATTTTGTATTTCTTTGTTGAAACAGTTATTTGTTTTTATAGTGATTAAGATTATTACAATGTTGACTGCTGTTCAACTTTTCACGTGTGTACCTGTTATGTCTGTTTGTTTGGTTCCCCCATTAGTGTTAAAATTATGGAATTCTATGCAACTGTCATACAAGTGAGAGGTTTAGCTAGCTATAAAACCAGGTTTAACCCACCATTTTCTACATGAAGAAATTTCTGTACCAAGTCAGGAATATGACAGTTGTTTTCCATTTGTGAGATGTGTTTGAGCTTTTGATTTTGCCATGTTTATAAAGGACTTTCCGTTTTGAATTTCCCTTGGAGTTCGGTACTTTTGTTAATTTACTTTTTATTCATTACAAACACATTTAGAGAAAACTGACGATGATGAGTGGCTGTTATAACAAGGTTTTATATGGATATTTGCAGTTTATTATCTCGGGTAACTGAAATGAATCTGTATAGTCACAATACTATGTTCGTTTCTTTTTTCTTTATTAAAGCACCCGAATGGATATTTTCTACAATCTAATTATACATTTAAGAAAATCATGTTGCTTTTTGTTTTGTTTTGTTTTAATACTTTGGTATGTATACTTTGTATTTAAGGAACCGACAGAGACGACGGAAAGACAGTTTTTATTCAGAATATGTCTTTCAATAGCGGCGAACCGACTGACGCAACTGCAAGTAAGTTGACGTTTTCGGTAATTTTTGCATGTTTATTTTCAATGTATTCTGCTCCGGTTTAACATGCATGTATTTTTAGATCAGCAATGAAATTCCACATAATCTAAATGTTTATTCTTGCTCTATTCAAATGTTTGAAACTGCCACAAAGGGATGTGAGACATTTTAAATTGCCACCCGTCCATCCGGCTTTCAGTATTTCCGTTCTTCTTTTTCTGTCTTGTTAGCGCTCTCAAACAAACAGTTATTACCAGATTTGTTATCAAATGTTTGTCAAATGTTGATATAAGTTATGTCTCAGACGAGTTTGAAAATCATGGCAGAGACATTATTTTTGTAACCATTTGAAATACCGATTTCATTGAAAGTTGTTAAGAAAGTTCTATCTATAAGTCTTTATTTCTTGTAGAATTTTTATGACAGTTATTTCAAAGTTTGCAATGATTCAGATGAAATCGCAATGCATTAGTAGTAGAGTCTTAGCTGCATTGCCCAATAAAACCTGGTCTCGAGACGAGGGAAATGACTAAATACCCTTGTTATAGGATGTTATACCCTAATTCCTGAGACCAAATTGTATTCTGAGACGACATGGCCTTACTCAGGGACTTTAAACAGATTCCAACAATAAATCACGAAAAAAGCGGAAAACCCTGATATATTTATATTGTGTTTTTATCAAAAACGAATGTGAACCATTAAATGTAGTTGTTAACTTCTACTAAATCAACTCGTCGGTTATATCTGACTATAAATAGGAAAAATATAAACTCTTTATTTTTTATATAACATGAAAATCTCTCTCACAATTCTAGATTGAAGATTTTAATCTGTCCTTGGACTTGCTACACGAAAATTCTGTATGTGCCTTTTCCAAGTCAGGAGCCTGTAATTCATTGATTGTCGTGTGTTGCTGCATGTAATATTTGTGTTTCATTCATTTATTATTTTGTTTATCAATCAGGTCGTTAATTTCCTTATTTGAATTGTTTGACATTTGTTATTGTTGAGCCTATATATATGAATAAACAAGTCCAAATTGAAAACAACGCTCAAACCTATCATTGCGTCGGACAACAACCGCAATTTTTATACGTTTGCAAAATGGATCTTATTATTTAATGTATTACCAAACAGGAAACAATAAACCTGCGGAAAAGATGGTATACCACAGACATGAGGTGCAAAAATATGTACACCATATCCGGATTTCGACAATGAATGTCTCTTCAGTGATGTTAGGGTTCGAAGCGGTATTTGGAAGGCCATATAATTTACCTCAATTTAGGATAGACTCTTGAATTTTAAAGAGTCGAAATAGGTTGAACGGATCATATAAACCCGAAGGATTGATTGATTGATTGTTGGTTGCTTAACGTCCAGTGGCAAATATTTCATGCATATTCAGGACAAGAACAAGTTCACAATAAATACAATAGGTAGGTTCTGTAATAGATTAAGGGATTAAGGTCGGAGAAATTTAGACTGCCACGGGAAATGAGGGTATATTGGATAGGGACATAAATTTAGCCTTGCAACAGGTCACCTACGGACCCTAAAACCCGAAGGAAAATATAATACAAGCCCAAACGAAAAAACATACAAACAAGTCCAAATTGAAAACAACGCTCAAACCTATGATTGCGTCGGACAAAAACCGCAATTTTTACACGTGTGCACGCAAAACAAATCTCTTGGCAGAGGGATCCAAATACAGCACAAATAACACTTCCCTAAAAGACCAAAAAATGTGAAGAAGTATATTTTAACAAAAGGCATTTGACCAGCAGGTCGAACAACCGATGTTCTTAAACCCCACTGACTGCCATTAGCGATTGTCAAATAAACGGATCACAAGATTTAACAAAATGGATCTTATTATTTAATTTATTACCAAACAGAAAACAATAAACCTGCGGAAAAGATGGTATACCACAAACATGAGGTGCAAAAATTTGTACACCATATCCGGATTTCGACAATGAATGTCTCTTCAGTGATGTTAGGGATCGAAACTGTATTTGGAAGGCCATATAATTTACCTCAATTTAGGATAGACTCTTAAATTTTAAAGAGTCGAAAAAGGTTGAACGGATCATATAAACCCGAAGGAAAATATAATACAAGCCCAAACGAAAAAACATACAAACAAGTCCAAATTGAAAACAACGCTCAAACCTATGATTGCGTCGAACAAAAACCGCAATTTTTATACGTGTGCACGCAAAACAAATCTCTTGGCAGAGGGGTCAAAATACAGCACAAACAACACTACCCACAAGACCAAAAAATGTGAAAAGTATATTTTAACAAAACGCATTTGACCAGCAGGTCGAACGACCGATTTTCTTATACCCCGCTGACTGCCATTGGCGATTACCAAATAAACGGATCACAAGATGTAACAAAATGGGTCTTTAATTATTTAATGTATTACCAAACAGAAAACAATAAACCTGCGGAAAAGATGGTATACCACAAACATGAGGTGCAAAAATTTGTACACCATATCCGGATTTCGACAATGAATGTCTCTTCAGTGATTTTAGGAATCGAAACGGTATTTGGAAGGCCATATAATTTACCTCAATTTAGGATAGACTCTTGAATTTTAAAGAGTCGAAATAGGTTGAATGGATCTTAAAACCCGAAGGAAAATATAATACAAGCCCAAACGAAACAAACATACAAACAAGTCCAAATTGAAAACAACGCTCAAACCTATGATTGCGTCGGACAAAAACCGCAATTTTTATACGTGTGCACGCAAAACAAATCTCTTGGCAGAGGGGTATATATAAGTCTAAATATGTGAAAACTTTTCGACATACGTTTGTAATCGGAAAACATGTGGTTATACATGATATACGCCATAATTTATATATATTCGTCGTTTCGATTGTAGCCAAACAATATTAAATCTGCAAATTTGAGTTAGCAAATGTTATGTTCTCCCCTCGGCGGGGTTCGAATTCCTGCTTCTTTGATATCATAACAACAACACCTGCGCTCTGTCCAGATTAATGGCATCGATAAAGTTGTCCCTTGTTAGGACGTCGTACATGGGAATGCCGCAAAAAAATTCTACGAGAGGACCTAAGTTCGCTGTAATTACTTGTAATGAGACTGTCACCTTTTGTTAAATTGAGATTCTGGATTCGTGTATATGTGTGTCATAACGTTTTGTTCATTTTTTTAAATCAAAAAATAAAATCAGAATTAATAAAACAAGAACGAATTACGAAATTTAAATTTAATAGTTTTTTCAATTCTTAGAAGTTGTCAATAAAAAAAGCAAAATTTTTGTTTTTGTTTGGCTTCGTAGTCATCGAATATACAAATTGTCACCATTGTCACCACTTTAAATAAATCACACATAAACGGTAATAACTGCCCTTTCCTATATTTATATATTTCAGTTTTATAAGGGAAACTTTACACTAACATTTACGAAAAAGGTACTTTTTTGATTCCCTATTATCATTTAAATCTTTTTTGGACGGTGATGTTCCTTTGGCACCATCTTACGGTGTTTATATTTCGTTCGCTATGCCTGTGTCTGTGGTGTCTTTTTGGATGTCAATGAACGTAATATATGCATTACAGGTAAAATATAAGGCATGTATTTCGTTACCACAAATTACTTAAAAGTTTTACTAAATTCTTCCATAGATTGGTTTTAAATTTTGGTTGGGTCTGTAGAAAACCTATTTCAAACGGGAAACATCCTCATTTTCTCGGAGATGATGTTCAAAGAATCTGGAAATCTAGAAACGATTAGGGTAAACTTATCGATCCTTCAAATAAACTTCTTCTAAAAGGATACCGATTTAACACTGTAATTATACCTTTGGATATTGTTTTTATTGGTATTGATATTGCTTTTGTTAGTCTCAAATTAAAATCAAACTAAATATTTTTTTTATATACATATGCACATTCATGGCTCTACAATCCGTCAATACCTGTATCCTGACATTGCACACGGTCATGTTATTTTTTCTAACTGTTTATGGCGTCTTTATACTAAATCCTTTGAATGTTGGATGTGTACAAATTGATAATTTATTCTTAGAAGCATGTTTTTGTTTATTAGTTGTGATTGGCTTTAAAGTAGCTCTCAGTAACTGCGAGTACTTTCATATATGTATTTAGTGTCTTTTTGTTGTATGGATGTATAAGTACCCGTCCACGTCCACTCGGTGTTTTTGTTAGATGTATTTCTATTTGTATAAATATGATGAGATAAGCCTTTTTTAACTGGTTTTTATAGTTTGTTCCTATGTTGTACTGTTACATCACTGTACATGTCCCATGAGAGGGGAAGATTGGCGCCTTTAAACGAGTTTAACCCCGCCACTTATGTATGTACCTGTCCCAAATCAGGAGCATGTAATTCAGTGCTTGTTGTTTGTTGCTGTGTAACATGTTTGTTTTTCGTTCATTATTTTGTACATGATTTAGACCGTTGCTTCTCTCGTTTGAATTGTTTTACATTTGTCATTTCGGGGCCTTATATAGCTGACTACGCGGTATGGGATTTGCTCATTGTTGAAGGTCGTACGGTGACCTTTAGTTTGTTAATTTTTGTGATATTTGGTATCTTGTAATGAGTTGGCTCATTGGCAATCATACTACATCTTTTGATATGCTTGGTTTCATTGCTGACATGCAGATTAATTTTAATTGCATATGGGCTGCCGGTTCTCATCATTGACGAACATAAGATAATTTGAAAATCTTGATCTGTTTCGAACATCACCGTATCTTAATTTATAAGCAACTTCTATGCTTTATGGATTTTTTTAAAGTGATTTCGATAAAACATTAACGGTACTAGTTTTTCTGCACCAGATGCGTATTTCAACAATAAATGTTTCTTCGGTGATGCTCGAAGCCAAACTATTTTAAAACCCAAAGCTTATTAAAGAGATGAAGAGCTATAATCCAAAACGATAAAAAAAGGTATAGCCAAAACCGGGCAAGGAACAGACATTCCCTTTCATTGAAACAATTTGATTGCACTCCACTTACATAGATATGCATTCAGCTTCTAATAACATGCATTACGTGTGCATAATCAAGACGTTGAACTTCATTTGATTTTATTAAAAAGAAAAATATCTAATGTGTACTACGAAATTATCCTTTTGAACCATTGAAACGTAATCCAGGATACTAAAGCCACGTCCAGTTGTTTGCTTAACATTAGTTTGTGTGTAAAACTTCTACTTGTAGTTAGTGTATCATAAAATGTTTTATTGTTCACATAGTGTGTCAGTTCTTTATATCTTACTGGTACCACCTGCCTCACAAGATGACGCAATGTTCTGATTTGAGGACATTGCTTTTCTTTTTGGCACATCATTTCAGAAAAGTATCCTTTTATTTTTTGAACTTCGACCTTTATAGCAAATCATTTAATTAATTTTCCGACAACTTATTTTAGGGATTTGTTTTTGCTGTTCTTCATTTTATCACAATGCAAAGTCATTGTAGTGTTCGGTTTTTAGGGGGACGGTCTAGCATGTTTTTTTTAATAAGAATAATTGAAAACATTCAATATGGACTTAATCTAGCCTATATAATTACATAACAACGAAATGTGTGCTAGACGTATTTTATTTTTCTCTCGCATGACAACCTCACCCACTTTGCATTTAGCCGTTCTTTGGTTGTGGTCAAGGTCGCAGCCAAAATACTTCTTTACTTTAACACAAAACGATAAATATTGAGAAACGTGAACTGCAACAACGCCATAAATAAACTCTCATTTGCGAATAAAAATGAAATGTATCTTCGGTGATCTGTGATCCTTATAGTCTGTAACAGTTAAGCAATTGATAAAAACGTTTTGAAATGTTTTCATGAGATGATTGTTATTTTACCATAAGAAGCTTAATTTTAAGCATTTAAAAGATGATATATATAGGTTTCAGTATATAGCATCAACTGCAATATATACATACGGAATACTTCTAGAACATTTCTTCACAAAATGTTTTGCAATGGTAAAAATTAAGATTTCCCTTATGTTCTAGACACTTTCGTCATTTCTGTTTATGGTAATTGTAATTCCCTATGAATAATATCACATGCGAATTAGCTTTAACTTTATAAATATGTATTATCCAGGTGCAATTGGTGGAACGGTATCAGCTGTATTGATTATAGCGCTAATTGGTGTTACAGCCATTTTCTTGCACAGAAAAAGGTATGATTGCTTCCAAATATAATTTTAAATTGCCATCGATGTATGAACACACAGTAACTATAATACACGTTAACAAACTTTTTGGATACACCTTAAGCGAAAAGAATCGGCTACCAATAAACACAAACGAAGAATACAATGTAATAATGATTAGATCAATGTTTTGGATGACTGAATGCAAAATTCAAACATTCCCATAAATCATTCAACAAACACAAATAAGATGTTCATTTGGCATTAGGCTGTCAATAATCTGTATTCATATTTCGAATTTTGTCTTACATTTGTAATTCGGGCATTTACCTAGTGACGTTATGCGAAAAACTAAATTTTTTAAGGAATAAAAAACGACATGTTACTTTATGATGTCATATTGACATCAAACGTGACTTTTCAGTCCTAAAGTGTCCAGCTTATATATTAGTCTGTAATAACCACTCTTATCATACTTCCACCTTTTAGAAAACATATTACGAAATGAAAAGATTTCGAGGTTAATTAAAGATCACCAGAACAACATGCAAAGAACATGGTAAACACATTACGCAATAAGACATTTTTTTGTTGTTATCTGACATTACCATTGCGCAAACAAAGCAAAAGGTGGGACCAGATTTAATTGCATAACTTTTCATGTCAATCAAGAATGTATAGCCTTACGGAGCAAATGAGAGCACCCCCGGTTTTGGGTGGTGTTCGTGTTGCTCATTTTTTAGTTTTGCTTTGTATAATATTGTTTGTCTTTTGATAGTTTTTCGTTTTTTGCCTTGGAAGTATAGATTGTATTTTCAATCGAATGATAAGTAATAACATTAATTGTTCAAATTTTAATGCACCACATGCGCATTTCGACAATTAATGTCTCTTCAGTGATATTTGAAGTCTTTAGCACTCTAAATTAAGACCGACAAAATTGGGCATCAGTTTTGCTGTCATTTATATTATACAATTAGTCATTAGTTACCAAATGGATGGATTACACTTCCGTACTGAAAATATTAGCCGAAAACATCTGATGGAACATGAAGGTTTTTGTTAGAAGTTTGTTTTTCAAAGTTTTTTTATACAAGTATTTATATTGTAGAAAATCATCCAAACAGCCGCATATGAGAACTATTCGAAGTGAAGATTTTCCAAAAGATAAGAATTCATTTACAAACGAAAATAATTCCGATGGACAGTATCATGAAATTGATATAACAACTGTTGATTATACCTTAGCAAAACCGTTGTCAAACAATCAGGAACCAAAGAAGAAGACCACGGAGGATACAAATGTATACACTAGGATCGTCTCATCCGGGTTCGAAATCCCAAATGAGGCTAACAAAATAAACAATGCAATGTCAAATCCAGGATATAACGATATGAACTCAAAAGACAGAAGCAACCAAGATAACAACGTTAACAATAAACGTACAAATCCTGAGGTTGACAAAATGGCCGTAAGTGATTATGATCTGGCAAAGCCAATCAGTGATACAGAAGAATTAGATCCGTATACAGCAAATACTGACTATGACCATTTGAATAATGTTAAAAAACTTGAAATGAGTGACGTGAAAGTTTATGATCATTTAAAAAATGCAACAGAATCTGATTCTACGTATGATCATTCTGGTGTAACTGTTAGGACAGATACTGAGAATTACGAGCATTTTAATGTTGAAAAGTAATAACATATAAATTTAATCATTTATAAAGCATCTTACCCTTGAATCATGAGCAAACCGTGATCATTTTAAGAGCATACGATACAGTTACAACGGAGATAATGACGTTGCTCACGTAAAATGTTATTTTTCGCGATGTCAAAGTATGACATATTTGGAAAAGTTTCTTTTTTTACTCATATTTTAATCATACGCTTGAAAAAAGGTGCATTGATCCCTATGTTTTAAATGACCTTTGGCTTGATTATGTATGAAGATCATTTGTAACAATTTTTACGAACAAATCACAGATGGATTTTTTTTAAATCAGATAAGTATACCACAAAAACTACCGTTTTTTATCGAAAATTATTAAATATTATGAATACTTTCCAAAGAATTGTTTTGTTGCATAAATTTAAAACATACTTATGTAAATAAGATATTCCATATGTTTTTTACAAAAATCTTTTTTGTATTTATCTTTTGAAACAAAAAAGTTAACTTAAGTATGCCTATCCAATAGATAGAAATATCCGAGAAACCGAAATTTTGAGTAAATGTCTAAAATTTCGACCCCAATTATCCCAAAAAGTAGCACATGAAAGTATAGTTTGTATGACATATTTGAATTGACTAGGTATAAAACAGCTTGTATGCAAATTTTTGTAGACGAATCACCGTGGAATCAAAATTGTAGCGTATGCCCTTAATGTTGAAAAGTAAGAGTACACAAAGGTAAATTATTGATGAATTATCTAACCCCCGCTAATATTTGTATCCATAATGCGTAATATCTTAAATCTATCTTTTGATTACTGTATCATCCATTTTCATAAATTATAATGCATTAATGTTGCCTGACATTTATTGTAGACATTTATCTTTTTAACTTGAAATTTAGAGCAAACCATATTTGTCCTGTCTATTGACTAATGATCAGCTTCTTTTTTTTTGTTTGTTTTCTGCTCTTTCTGTGTCCTGTCAATCATGATATAAACCATAGAACATGTTGCGACTTTAAACTACGGACCGAAATATGCTCATACATGTATACATGTACATGCATCCAGGATTTAGAGCGATATTTAACCTATTTCTCATTTTGTAGATAACAAACCTAAAATGCATTTTTTAAGTAAAGCAATTACGTTTTGTTTTGAAAAATTGTAGTACTTTTCACGTCAGCTTTATTGATTCAACTCATAAAATAATTAAGTATAAACAAAACAATTGTACAAATTATAATTTGTATATTTACTTTGTCCAAAAAGTGTTTGTAAGAATTACAATTTGTACAAAATTTGCTGTATTTCATTTTTGTTTTTCGTTTATTGTTTTGTACATAAATCCGGCCGTTAGATTTCTCGATTGAATTGCTTTACATTTGTCATTTCGGGGCCTTTTATATCTGACTATGCAGTATAGGTTTTGCTCATTGTAGAATGCTGTGAGGTGACCTATCATTGTGAACATCAATGTCATTTGGTCCCTTGTGGGTGTTGTCTCATTAGCAATCATGCCACATCTTCTTGGTATTTTATATATATAAATACAACACCACGAACAAAAATTTTTATTTGAATAAAAAATATTATCGAAACGCTTCTCTAAATTAAACCACTACGCAATATGGTATTAACATTGTCACTTGGTTTCTTCTTATGTTCTTCGAATTACAATGTATATCATTGTTCACAGTTTTGTAATTTATTATCACCAATCATGGAATTTTAAGAAAGATACCTTACCATTTTGACGATTTCGAATTATGTCGTTTTAAAGTTATCATGGAAAATTGGACATTTTCTCAATTGTTGAGTAAAAACATGACTTTGCTGTGATACTTTTCCCTGATTGTTTTTCTTCACAGAGGTGAAATCATCAAAGCGAGCCACCTTTTAGTTTTGCAGTTTTCGTTATTTTCATTTATATCATTCAGGAGCTATTGGACTTTTTTGAAAAAATGTTCACATATCGCCCACTACCCCTATTGCTCGTATTGGTTTTCTCAAAACGTTACACTGTTGTTAAGATTGATAAACAGAAGCGACCGTTTTGACAAAAAACATCTTTGATATGTTATTAATGAATTAAGATTATAATACTTTATTTTATGGTGAAATCTCAGTTATAAACCTCTGATTTGTTTTAGAAAAGATATTGTTCTTAGAGTTCACAAACAATCCCCGGTTGAAATAAGCAGCACAAAAATCGAAAAATGATATGAAATTGGTTTCGAAGTTCCGTGAGAGATAAGCAAAATTTGGATTCGATTGGTAACACGAAATGTCAACGGTATGTGGTTTAAAGACTTGAAAGTTAGCTGGTGCACTATGCGAGTTGTGTCATCAATAGACTTCAGATTCTTGCTTGGTCCTGTATGGCAATACATTTTAGGGGAAACAATGCTAAGAACTTCATCATTGATGCCACTGTTCTGCTCGTTGTCGTCCGACCTGTTTGAGATATAATATGTCCCTTCAGTGACATGATTAGTGAGGAGCAAATGCGTACATGTTGGTCTCCCGCGTGACGCGTGGCGGGGGACATAGAAAGACCGGGCGTCCGTCCATCCCTCCGTCCGGGCGTCCGGTCTTGTTAGTCCTCTCACATATACAATATTGCCAGATTTTTATAAAACTTTTATCATAGATTTGTATCAGCAATGTCTCGAATGAGTTTGAAAATCAGTGCCGATCAGCTATTTATAAAGGAGTTATGCCCCTTGGAAACATTAATTACATGGAAAATTGTATCGTTAGAGCTCTCACATGTACAATTCTAGCCAGTTTTTATGAAACGTATATTGTAGGTTTATATCAGCAATGTCTCGGACGAGTTTGAAAATCAGTGCCGATCAACTATTTTTAAAAGAGTTATGCTCCTTAGAAATATAAATTATATGCAAATGTGCATTGTAAGTGCTCTCACATATTCAGTTTTTGCCAGATTTTTATCAAACTCATACCAAAGGTATATAACAGCAATGTCTCGGACAATTTCGAAAATAAGTGCCAATCGAATATTCTTAATGAGTTTCCCTTGGAAATATCAAATATATCGGAAATTGCTCCCAAGTCTTCAACTCTCAAGTAAGAAAATTTTAGATTTTAAAGAAAGAAATTCTTTTTTTTTTTTGTTATTGCCCTTGGACAGAACAGATAAAATATGTGCAACGCGGACTCTGTTCTTTTATTTAGTTAATATCAGCAGGAAAAAGTATAAACTCCATTTTAATAAAGTTAAATTTTAAGTTATAAACATAAGTGCCTGTTATGTCAAATGATGAATTATTATAATCCATTTAACACTTTTATTGCATTTTTTTTCTTGTTTGACAATCATTTTACATCTTTTGATTACTTTATTGTGTATAACAACTTCGGTTGACAATACTTATTTTACTGTTATTGAATTGGTGAATCACGGAGATAAAACGACCTGAATATGTTGACTGTATTTAATTTATTGGTACTTTATTTGATAAACAAAATATAAACGGAGGATAAACGAGAATTTAATCTCAGAGTTTTTTGGGAAAAGAACTGACATATGACTTGTGTTAGGAGATTTATTATGATGTATAATTAACAAAGATACACGTGTTTGTTTTGTCATAATGATATGATATTTTATTAATTATAATATCTAAAGAGAAACAAAAAACATGACACCAGCGGTTTAGAACCTACCTACCCCTCAATCTTTAGTTTCCTGTGTCATATTTTAATTGTTTATAATTTATCGTCACTTTCCCCTTGATTATGATTTTGTCTGACCTTCTGCGTTACTCCTCCAGCTATATCGTCTACAAATATACTCCTAAGTGATCATACCTACATTTTATCCCCAATCAATAGTTTCAACGAACTATGAATTTGATTCACCAATGACGTATGGTATTTTATTTGATGACCGATAATGTACTGAATTACACTTGGTATGTGTTAGATTAAAAACTGTTAGAGACAGGAAGTTCAAATCAATTTTCTGGACATTTATCTACGGATGATTTAAAGAGACTGTATTGTGGTTTCTTATTTCAACAAGAAATGGAACAATTCTTCCGTTTGTCGTCCAGATAAGTTTCCCTACGTATTTTCCTTTTTAAAGCCGACACAACCAGCAATTACTATAGATTTAGGTACCCACGAGGGGCACATGTCTCCTAATTCATTACAGTTTTTGATTTTTTTGAATTTTCCAATAGTTTTAGTATTAATAAGTTTGACTGTATATTACTACTTCAAGTCTTGTCATATACAGTGTATTTAAACATTTTCATAAAACTTGGATAGTCAGACTTAAACAAAAAATACGTTTGATGTCTCTGTTGACATAATAGCAACAAATTACTAGGTGTTACTGTTGATCAGTCAGTTTAAGCGCCCGATGTATTATTTGTATAATTGCAATATATTAGAACAAAGGTATTATCTACATAAAATCTAATTCACTGATAAATGTTAATGCATCGAAAAATACAAAAAAAGATCAAGTTATACATTTAAATTGTAAAGGGACGATCGTAAAGTTGAAATAAGGGGACAGGAGGACTTTCAAATGTTTAAAATTGTTGAGCATACAACATGAAAATGAACAGTCATGCAACATTGTCTCCAATGGGCGACCAGAAATCAAACTATTCAGTTTCAATTTGAATAAACCACAGTCATTTCAAAAGTACAACATGTACAAACATATTACCTCTTTCAATTTTGATAAAAATAATACTTATTCGGTCACGTATGTTATACATTTTCCAGTAGAAGATGAATGTTTCAACTTGATAGTATTTCACAAGAAAAATGCATTTAACAAAAAAATGGAGAACAACTTAAGCCAACCCAGTCTACAAATATCTAGCGAAATTCACTGTGTGTTTTTGGTGCGTTATCCAACTAGATCGTGATCCAGCCAATTCTAACTATAGACTATAAACTATAAAATATACTTCCCTCATGCAAAGTTCAGATTCCTTACCCGACTAAAGCTACCTTTTTGTCCTTGTAGGTTTTATCAGCTCCTCAAGTATCGGAGTTTTAAATATTTAGGTCTCGCGCATAAATAGTCAAAATGCGCATCTAGTGCAGTTAAATTGATACCATTAATGTCATTCCAACGGATTAATATGCTATATCTAAAAAAAAATATTTGACTATTTTTATTTTTATTTTTCTTTATTTTTTTTTTTTTTTTTTTTTGTAATTGAAACATGATTTTGTGTCTTTTTGGTTATTTGTGTCATCTGATTTTGTCTCACTGACATATATCTGACATCTTTCACGATTTATATTTTGTAAGCTTACTATGTGAATGTCAAAGAAAATGACATATGACGTCGGGCCGATATTGTTTTATTTCTTTTTGTTTCTTAAATTTTCTCGTACGTATTTTGCTATTGGTTATTATTATTTTTTTTTTATTATTCGCTTTTTCTTTTAAATTTTATTAGCTAACCACAAATGGACCAATGAATAGAGAACAAAATAAAGATCAGCATAAAAATGTTTAAGAAATAGTCATTTTTTAAAGGACTAGGTCTGTTGTTCTTTTTACAAACAAAAATTAAGACGAAAATCTATTGATTGATTACTCTAAACTGTGATTATTTTATCTCGTTTTTAATGAAACACAGTTTAAAGTTTTGTGAAAAGCAAAAATATAAAAGAATTTCTCGCTCTCGATTGTTTGATAATATGTCCTTAACATTTAGCATCCCTTCAAACGAAATCTTTTGATGTGATCATACAAATTAAATTTGTGTCATGATTACAGGTGTTTTAGTAAAATACCTGTTCTATACATCGATAAGATGTTTAAAGGGAGGATCCATCACATGAATCAACTTCCTCTCAGTGGTTGTATACAGCACAATAACTTCCATTTCTTAGAAGTTGCAGTATGGGAATATAATTTGTACGTGCATATCCAAAGATATGGGTATTTTGACACCCATAAGTACCCAAGTACGTCCTAAAATACTCATATCTACGGATATGAACGTAGATAACGAATCGGTCTTGATCCGAATATGCCAATTTTTCGCGAAATTCGGGCACAAAATGTTATAAGAAAGCATAATTAGATTTCATCGTTGATGAATTACATTTTTGATTACAGACGTCATGTATAATCTACAGAATTCATTTTTTTTACTGGAAACAACCACGGAACTAAGGAAATAAGCGTAATACAAGCTTGAAGTTCCTCTTGGAAATTGGTAGCAACGCCCGGGGATATGGGTTAGCAACATCCGGGGCCATTGGTTTTTAAACGACGGTCACATGTACAAAATCGTTCAATTTAATATCTGTTCTGAACAATAACCACCTGAAAAATAAACAAACCGGTGCTAGGGGCCGTCTTAAACTTGCAGTGAGGTAAATAAAGGCAACAGTAGTATACCGCTGTTTAAAAGTCATAAATCGATTGAGAAAAAACAAGATTTGTTTGCTCCGTGTTCAAGGCCACACTGACTTTGAGATGAAGAACAGCAACAAAAGCACTGTTCAATTATTTGTTTTTTGTGAATTTTGTTTTTTGCTGTGTATGTACTGATTTTGTGTCATGAATGGATACCCCATATCCTTTGCGTTTCTATAATGTTCGTATTAATTTAAAATAATTAATCACAATTATGTACACTAGGAGTCATCAATCTTTGCAATAGCTTGGAGCCTGTCGTTTTGTGTACCTATATATTTGTATATTTAAGGAATGACTGTAATTTAAAGCATGTCTATTAAGCCATAACATTAATAACAGCTGTGCATATTGTATGCCACATAGCGTAGCGAATTAT